CAAGAACCTAGTGAGCCATACTGATACTGGATTCTACCAGGGGAAATTCTCCATCTTACAAGTCCTGAAGCATTTTAGGACCAGTCTTGGTGATTGGCTAGGGATTGCACTCTGTCATTCCTGTGGTAGAAATCTGAGCAGCATGTGGATCCTAGAATCTCCTTTCAGTTGAACACAGCCAGAGTCAAAATCTGGCAACTGAAGTAGGTTTTACATCTAGTCTGATAGTGAAAGATTCTTGGGCTCTGCTGGGACTGAAGGCCTGAAAGGAGAAATGTCCTAGCAGCTGAAGAGTAAACAAACATCACCCAGGACACAGGATGGCTCAGGGGAGGTCTGGATTCCCAGGAGCCTTTAGTGTGCCATAGCAGGTATAGATGGGCAGAAAAGCCTTTAGTCTCATTCTGGGTTCTGCTCCTAAACCCTGACATCGGAGACATGTAGGCCGTTATTGATGAGTCCCTTGTCTCACTGGCACTCAGGCCCTTGGTTTCCTAGAGATCCTTCTCAGATATAGGAGGACATGAGAGGCCTCTTCTAATCTGACAGCTCCATGACACAGAGCTCTCCCAAGAAGAGAACCTGCTTCTGTTTTACCTGTTAGCTTCTGTTCTGCTGACAGTATCTCTCATTAACCCTCTCAAAGCAAGCTCAGAGCAACTAATCATAGAAAGTTTGGGGGAGGGGCAGGTAGGTGGTGCAGTGGATAGAGCACCGGCCCTGAAGTCAGGAGAACCTGAGTTCAGATCTGACCTCAGACCAAACACTTGACACTTACTAGCTGTGTGACCCTGGGCAAGTCACTTAACCCCAATTGCCTAAAAAAAAAAAAAGCTTGGGGAGAGAGTAGTATTAGAGAATGAGATTGTCTCCTTTCTTTTCCTTCCTCAAAGATCCTGAGGCTGTGTCTAGCTTGGCTAAAGTGGTGATCCTCCAAAGAGGGAAACAGAATGGATGACCTAGGATCATAGGATCACAGATTTAAAAGCTGAAGGAAACTTTAGAGGCCTCTAACCCAACTCCTTCATTTTACAGATGAGAACACTGAGGCTGAGAGAAGTTGTACCTTGTCCAGGATCATATAGCTAGTCAATGTCTGAGACAGGATTTGAACTCAGACTATCCTGACTCCAAGTCTAATGCTCTATCCACTGAGATGATTGTTCTGAGCTGCCCAGTCCAATCTGGTTTAGCCAATGAGAGGGTCAGAGTTCTGTGTATCTATAGGAAGATGTGCTGCTGTGCAGGCTCTCCACCCCTCCATCCAGAAAGAGTCAGTGTATAGACCTGGAAGATGTAGAACTAAGGTACGGTGAATGGACCTTGGGGATGGGGGTGAAGGGTTAACACATGCTGTTTTTATAGCTTTCTTCATAGCTCACATTTCTGTGGTTCTTTAAAGTTTACAGTGTCATCTGTGAACTTCTTTCACTCAACCTTGTCATGTGGATAATGGTAATAATACTAATAAAGGCACAAGAATCCCCGAAACTGTTAGCTCTGTGGCCCAACTTTGTTCTGTGTCTTTTTGAAAAGTCAGATGAGAGGCATGGTACATGGGAATGTAGTATATGAGATGAAATCAAAGAGAAATATACAGAAGGGTCATGAATAAAATCCACATTCCACATTTTTAGCAATCCAAGGGAAGAAAGGATTTCTAGGTTAGTCTCTCAGATGAGAGGTCATTCCTGTAATCTAACTAAAGAGGGCTGAGATGAAGAGTTAGCCAACTTGAGAATGGGCTACTATAAGAGCCCGGGCATTGTGTTAAGCCAGGGCATAAACTATTTTAGAAATAAGACTGTATACCAGTATCATCTCTACAAATAATATGTATCACAAGATTTCTTGAAGTCTACTGACTTGGCATATGTTGTGCCAAAGACTCATGGGTGAGAGACATAGAAAAGGAGTAAAGAACAAAGGCTGTATAGTTCCCAGGTTTCAGTCTTTGGAGGAGAAACATCAAAGATCTGTCTGTCTGTCTGTCTCTCTCTCTCTCTGTGTCTGTCTGAATGTGTGTGTGAGTGTGGTATTCTGACTCACTTTTACAGGTGACAAACCTGGACAAGTGTTGAGGTGCGAAGTAGGCAGGGAGCACATATTACATGTGCTGTAGAGTAGGGTATGAAAGGTATTAGGGGAGTTTAAGCCTGATCTAGTAGTTGTCCCTGGTAACATGGGAGTTGGTAGAAGGGACTTTTTGCATGACCTTTACCGTGGAAATCTTCCTGAATTGTCCATATGGATGATTTGCAGCAGGTGTCCACAGGGTAAGAGCTCATAAGACAACTTCATGGATGCTGACAGATGCTCTGGTTGCTAGGCACCTTGTCAAAGTGGTTACCATGGCAATTTGTGGGACATGGCTGCAGTTTTTTTGCATCCTTCCCCCTCCCTACGACTCCCAGTAGCTCATTCCTAGTATTAGGATGCCCTTCTACAACACCTGTTCCAGGTGGGTGGTGAGGATATCAAAACACAGCCCTTAGGACAGGACGTCCTCCACCCTAAGAAGCATGTGTTTTTTCTTCATAGCAAAATAATCTGTCAGTGTAAATGGGTAAGATAGATATATATAAACTGTGCCTGTATACACTTCTATATATGGTTACACCTATCCATTAGTTTCCTCTGTCTCTCTGTCCCTGCTCCCCCTACCATGGAAGGAGAGTTATATACCTTTGTTTTGAGGAATGCTGAATGCTGAATCATGGGCTCAGACAGTGTGTCTGACACGGATTGCAGCCCCATCCTATACACTCTTCTCCTGATTCTATTAATGTTCTCCTACCTCCTCCCCAACCCCCATCACGCCCCTCTTTCCTTACCCTATCTCTGAGCTGAGCTCTAGTAGAACGGTGGGAGAGTCCTATCTCCAATACCAACCAACCCAAGGTCCTGATCAGTCTGGGCTTCTTTGCCCTTGATTCAGTATAGAATTATTGACTTTTCTCTTTCTGTGTTTCTCTGAGTTCTGCTCCAGGAATCCAGGAACCTAGATTTGTCCTGTTCCCTGGGCCCCTGGGAGACTAACTAGCTTTCAGAATACCTTCTCTATCCTCATGCTTATCCCTAGCATCTGCTTCCCCCTTGCTAATCTGATTAGAGAGGGCACAGGGGACAGCTGCTTCTCTCTCAGACAGCCTTTGTGACATGGTGGAGAAAAAGGTTTGACCTTACACTTGGACTTCTCACCCATCCTAGACACTTAATGTCATTGAAGGGTCACAGACAGTCGAAGGGGGTGAGGTAGGAAACATGGAAATCCAGTTGGCTTGGTTATAGGAATCTCAGTTACTGTATTTGATTAGGGTATCTCATCGACTGCAGCCCGTCAGAGATATTTTAGGGCTTACACCTTGGTGTGTGCTGGGGACGGCTGGACCGAGAACAGACAGGTGCAGCTTTGGGGCTGGAGCTCAGTTATCCTTCCTCAGCATTGAAGTTCCTTCTGCTCCGGCCCTCTCCTCTTCAGTCAGACACTTGGCTTTCTTCCCGGCGGACTAGACGGAGGTCCTCCCTCCGCCTCCCCAAAACTCCTCCCCACCCACCCCCACTCTAGCCTTTACTATGGCAACCCAGGACCTGGCTTCAGCGGCCCAGCCACCTAGAGGGATAGAGGAGAGTAAGCTACGCCCAGCTCCGTCTGGTTACCATGGTGACAGCCGCAGGGTGACCCGAGTGTTCTTCTCCTCCTCCCAACCCCCCCCCAACTCCAGGCCTGGTAAGGAAGATGACGGCGCGCTGCTGACTGCGCCAAAATCCAGCCAATGGGCGGCTGCTCCAATCTCTCCTCCCTCTCCCTCCCTCCCCCAAGATAACTCCCCTAGGAACTTGATTCACAAATCTGTGCTAGGGATTTCCGGCTCCGGAGAGGTGGTGCTGTGGGGGGTGTGGAATTGGTGTAGATGGGAAAGGCTTACAGGTCGGGGAGGGGAAGATCCTTTTTCTCCAGGCATGGAGAGCTGAGGGATGGGGCCTAGGAGTCGGGCCCCAGGGTTCTCTCGTTTGGCCTTGATCCCACCTCGGGCCCCAACTTCACGGGAACGAACGAGCACACACACACACACACACACACACACACACACGGCTCTCTAGACCATGCCTGATGTCTGGTACCATGGACAGCGGTGCCAGTAACTCAGGCTCTAGTACCTTGGACACCCCCTAGAGTAAGCAAACCAGCTCTGGATTTGAAAGGGTGGGGCTCGGGAGTGTTGTTAGACAAAGAGACAGACATAGAGTTGGCTGAGGTCAGAGACACGGACATTTTTCCGAACCAGTTTTCCAAGGTCAAGGGAAGTGGAAACAGAAGCACTATCTGGGCAACTGAGTAGAAAAAGTGGCAATTGGACTCTTTCCACCTCAAAACCCATCTGTGCAGAGCCAGCTTTTCTATGTGTGTTAGCTCCTCTCTAGGTCTGATGAGAGAAAAGGTGATGTTTCAGTTTCTGGGGCTACTCTAGGTTGGAGTGAGAAAAAGAAATAGCTGTCAGGGCCTTGGTAAAAGAATGTCTGGCTAGAGCTAAAGCAGTCCCCAAATGATAGTTGGATAATTCTACTCTCCTCTTGACCAAACGTAAAGGCCAATGAGGGTTGGGGAAGGGAAAAAGGGAGGCAAAGGCTGTTCAATCTGAGTTTCATTTTCCCTAGTCTAAAATGATAATGGTCTATTTTCTAACCTTCCTTACCAGGGAGTCTGGAGCTAAGTGAGCTAGAAGGGAGCTTTTCAGATCTATTTGATTAGGTGTCTCTTCCTGTCTCCACCTCCCCACCTCAATGTGCTGCTGCTTTCCCACCTGACCCAAGCCTTTGACCAGCTTTAATTTCCTCTTCTGTGAAAAATGGGGATGAGATGGAGGAACTAAAAGGGCATTGATTTTTAGATTTCTCTCCCACCTCAGGTTTCAATCTGTTTCCTTCTCTGAGTGTGGACACCTCATTCTCTCCCCCCACCCACCCAGTCCCCAAAGAAAGGCAGTCGCAGAGCCTTCTGCAGGCGCTTCCAGCGCTTTATAGCTCCCTCAGGGACAGACACACAGTTCAGCCCGCGCCTTCGGTCCACAACATTGGCACGTTGGACACGGCCCCCAGGCCCAATACGGCCTCAGGCCTCCTCCCCATGGAACTAGGCCCCGGCTCAGCACCTTGGACAGCTCCCGGTACGCCAGCCCTCTCCCTCCCTTTCCCTCCCCCAGGGATCACTTCCTGAAAACATCCAAATAAATAAAAAGAAAAAAGGGGGGAAGGGGAGCTTGGGGCCAGGGCGGGGCGGGGCCGGGGGGAGAAGGTCTCTTCTAAAGTGAGATGAGTTTTCTTTCTTTTAGCCCCCTTCTGCTGAGCTGATGCCGGGGCCCCTCCCAATCCACCCTTACTCAAAACTCAGGGCGGACTCTCTCCCCACCCCCCCACCAAAACTCCCTCAACCCGCAGCACCTCCCCCTCTCCCGGCATGCACCGCGTCAGAAAAGGTGGGGAGAGAACAAGGGGCATCCTGGTGCTTGAGCTCCTAAGACCGCAACTTTCTGCTGCAGGAGAGACAGCCCCTAACCCCAGTCAATCCAATCTTCTTCCAGAAAGAAGGGAGAGGAAACGGGGTGGGGGAGGGAAATGGAGAATCAGAGACTCACGTAGACATAAGAAAAGGTGGACAGAGAAAAACACATGGAGAAAAGGAGAAGAAATAATCAGAGACAGGGACAGTCACATATCCAGAAAAAGGAGGACCGAGGGGCACACGCACACACACACACACACACACACACACACACACAAAGAGGAAAATTGGACAGAGACACACATCGAGACAAGAGGAGAAATGGAGAAAGAAAAATGGACACAAGCAGGACAGATGGGCACATATACTCCCAGACAGGACAGGTGGACAGAGACATACTTCCAGTTAAAAGGAGAGATGAGAAAACACAAGCATCTTTTCAGACAGGAGAAATGGACAGAAAAAGGCAGGAGGAGAGATGAATAGAGACACATACAGACAGGAGAAAAGGGTAGAGATACATATAAGCAGAAGGAGAGATGGACAGACAAACACATACAGACAGGAGAGAAAAGAGACACAAGACAGGAGAGGTAGACAGGCACTCATACAGATAGAAGAAATGGAACAGACACAAACAGGTACGAATAGGAGGAGAGAAAAGAGACACAGACAGGAGAGGTAACAGGCGCTCATACAGACAGAAGGAGAAATGGACAGAGACACCCTCAAATAGACGAGAGAGAAGGGAAGAGACTAAAGCATACAGGTAAGAGGAGAAATGGAGAGAGACAGAGACACGTATACGGTCATGAGGAGAGCTGGGCAGAGAAAGAGATGGAGACACCCACAGGCAGAAGAAGAGAATCCATTCCCCTCTCCCATTTACTCTTCCCCACTCTTCCTCTTCCCCTCCCACGGCTCAGCTCCCCCCTCCCCGCAAATCCGAGACCAGCAGGACCCAGGTGTCCCGTCCGCCATACTCCGATGGGTGGTAGCATCTCCTCAGTGGAGGGGGGGCGGTTGGGTGGAGAAGCAGCAACAGCAGCAACAGCGGCGGCGGCGTCCCAGGGGCTCCGTGTACGTGTCCGGGGTAGGGGGGAGGGGACCCGGTCATCCCCTGTCTCCGACCCAGGTGCCCCTTGGCGGTGGCGGCAGCAGCATCGCCTCCTAGCGGTCCAGATTCATAGTCCAGTGCTTGGCTCCGGCGTTGCTGTCCCTGGCGTTGGTAGCGCCACCGCCCGTGGGACCCCCAGCCCCCATACCGACCTCGCCCTCGTTCTTGAGGTCCTGGAAGACCTGGGTGAAGAAGTGGGGATCGGCATTGAGCCGCAGCATCTGCGCGCTTAGCCTCTGGATGAGCCGCAGGCAACGTTGCCAGAAGCGCTCCTTGTCTGGCTCCACTAGGAAAGGTTTGAGCGGGTAGGATATCTCGTTCCCCATGTAGGAATAGGCGAGGTAGAGGCAGGTGAGGAAGGCGGCCTGCAGCTCAGCGGCCGAGCCCAGCTCGTCCCCGCGCAGCGCCTCCCGGCACAGCAGATACACGAACACCAGGTTGGCCGGGGTGATGAATGCCTGGTCTTGCCACCCCTGCAGCAGAAGGGACCGGTCCACCCCTCGGAACCAGCCCACCAACTCTCCCGGGCTCAGCTCCTTCAGCCGGTAGCAGCGCCGACACACAAAGTCGCCCAGGCAGCGTAGCAGCTCGCCGGTGGAGGCCTGCACAATGACCCGTCGGGGGGAACCCCCAGGGACTGAGGGAGCCTGGGGGGCCGCCGCAGATGGTGGTGGCGGCGGCGGCTTCCCTCCTCCCCCTCCGGAGCCTGGCGGGGCCGAGGCGCTGACTCCGGAGGACGGCTCGACTGTGGTGGGCACTGTGGGCACGGGCACAGGCAGGGGCTTGGCGGCGCCGCCGCCATCTGGGGGTTCCCGGCCCTTGCGGAGAAGGTTCTCTCGGTTGCGCTGTTGGACTAGTAAGTCTGGGCCCGCCTGGGAGGGCTTGGGCGTCACCTTCTTGCTGCCCTTCTTCTTCTTGGCTGATGCGGCCACCAGTCGCTTCCAGGTGAGAGCCGAGATGAGAACTGACGGCCGCTTCAGCCGGCTCTCTCCCTTGCCTGCTTTCCCCGACGGCAGCTGCCCGTAGCCTCCCAGTGACTCCTCCCCCGCGGACTGCTGCGGCTTCTTCTTCTCGTCGGGCAGCCCGCCTGGCCGCCGACCCTTGGCCGAGGAGGCAGGCGACAGAGACAGCACCGTGCCCATCCTGTGGGGCAGAAAGAGCTCACGGGGCCCCGGGCGACGCTTCCCGTGGGGGAGCCAGGAAAGACACCGCCGCTGCGGCAGCACCCGGGGACCTGGGCCTGATGAAGGGAGGAGACCCCGGGCTCGGGGAGGGAGGGGGGGAATAGGGGGGGGGAATGTAGCTGCACCGCGGCGGCGGTGGCGGCTGCTCTCCGGATCTGAGCTGCGCCAGCTGCTGCGCCAGCCCCACCCCTCGGGCCCCCTCCCACTGGGCGCCGCGCCCCGCCCCACGCAGCCAATCCGAGCCTGGGCTGCCCCCACGACTGGCAGCCCCTCGGACCAATAAGGGCTCTCTTCGGAATTCCAGGTCCCACCCTTCCCCCCCCACCTCCCATCCTTCCCCCCACCACCTTGTTCCCTTCGCTCTGTGGGGGGGCAGTTGGGAACCCGGGGGTTTAGAGATGCTATTTGTAGGAAGCTGAGGCAGGACCGGGGGGTTGGGGCTGGCCGTAGTGAAGGGTGGGGGAACGGTTCTCCAAGCACACGGCGGCTGTCTCCGTCTTCCCACTCCTCTGCTATCCGTCTTCGGCCTGGCTTATTTTGGTGCAGTGGGGCCGGTTTGCGATGAGGCTGAGGGGGAGCCCGCACTGGGGGCCCCAGGGCGTGGGGTAGGGGAGAAGAGTAAAGGGCTGGCGCTCCTTGCCTAATAATGCCCTGCCCCCCCAAGTTGCGGAGAGGCAGGTCTCTGAGGACCATCCCTCTCCCTTACCTCCTCCAACCTTCCCTCTCTTCCTCTTCCCTCCCGCCATGAGAGCCGCTGCAGAGGTTGGGAGGGATATGAATTGTGAGACTCAGTGTGTGTGTGTGTGTGTGTGTGTGTGTGTGTGTGTGTGTGTGTGTGTTGTGTGTGTGTGTGTCCGCGCGTGTGTTGTGCAAAAATGTGTATATGTGTGCATAGGTGTGCGTTGTGGCTGCGGATGCAAATCTATGGATTCTTGCATGAGTTTTTGTTCCCCTGCTTTTCTTCCCCATATCAGAGGGTACTTTGAGGGTGATGCTAACTCCTTCTCTAAGTACTTCCTTTAGGGCTAGCTCAAAGATGGACCAGCACCCTAGTGAAACAGTGGATCTCTGCAGGGGGTGGAGATGAAGCTTCTGACTGCTTCATACTGTGGTCCCAATTTTCTGACCCCGAGGCTATTGCATTGGGTCTAGGACTCCATATCTCCAGGTGGTCACTATGCTAGTCTCCAATCAGCTCTTCTCTGACAACCAAGAAACTGTCAATTCACCCTAAAGAGAGAGAGAGAGGCAACCCTCTCCCCTCCAAACATACATCTACACTCACATAAAACACACCACTCAGGAATGAATTGCATGACCGATTTCCCTCCGTTCCCTCCCCACCCTTCCCACCACCCTGAGTTAGGGTATACTTTTATGGTAGCTTTATTTACATGTCTCTGATTAATGCTGTCAACATCACTGTCTCCTCACAGCATTCTTCTTCAGCCATGTCTGTGATCCATGCCACTTTTATCATTAGGGTCCCATTGATCAACTGGCTAAGGCCAAGGACTCAATCTTTATACAGGGCTCCCCAGTTTACTTCCTCCCTCTAGCCCCACCCCACAAACACACTTCACTCAGCCTGCTCTCTTCCATATTAGGGCTCTCTGCTCTCTTCTTCCAATTATCTCCCTTCTAGCTGGGAGTATTCCCCCACATTAAATCATCTACTTGGTATACCTTGCCTCCCACAGTTGTTCCAGAATTTACTGAAACCTCACCTCCTCCAAGAAGCCTTTGTGAAATTATTAGAAAGAAGAGGGTAATTTCAATAAGCTCAACCTAACTTTGCCATTACTACCACCAAAAGGAAGCTTATGTTTCATGCTTATGTGCATTGCTGTTCCAGTTACTGAACAAAGAGCATTTAAGTCTTTCTTTCTATGTCATAAGATCATAGGATTTAGAGTGAGAAGGCATTTCAGAGATCATCTAATCCAACCCCATGATTTTACAGATGTTGAAATTGAGGCCTAGATGAGTTAAATGTCATCCAGCTAGCAAGCAGCAGAGACGTAATTTGAACTCAGGTCCTCTGACTAATCCAGTGCTCTTTCCATGAGACTACACTAATTAATATCTTAAGAAAGGTGGGATTAATGGGAATGAACTTATAGTAGACACATTTTTTTAAAAAGGAAAATCAATCAACCACATAAATAGGAAGTGAATTTCCATTATATGCATGACAAATGGAAGGTTTTTGGAGAGATAGGGCCATAGATATTCCATACTTATGCAGAATAAGGGTAGGGGAACTATTCTTTTGATCAAGTAGGGAAGGTTTTATGGAGGATGGAGGATTTTATTGGATGGCTGGGAAACTTCCATTACTCACTGTTCCACTTTTCCTTTAAATTTTCATGCAATGTAAATATCTGCTGCCTATTTATATATTCATTCAATCAATCAACAAATACTTGTTAAGCCTGTGTAAGGAATTATTTTAAGTTCTGGAGATACAAAGACTTCATCAGTTAAACAGTTCCTGACCTCAACAAGCTTACATTCTATCTGGAGAAATGTGTATACTCTAAGTATATATGAAATACATACAAAATAAATTCTAGATAATTTTGGAAGAGAAGGCAGGATATGGAAACGCCTCAAGGAGGATGTGCTGCTGGAATTGAGCTTTGAAAGAAGCTAAGGATTCAAAATGGTGAAGGTAAGAAGATAAGAGTATTCCCAGAGACCACAAAAAAGCATAGAAACAGGAGACAGAATGTTGCCTGTGAGGGATAGCATATAGGTCAGTTTAGTAGGAATATAGCATGTGGGTGGTAGTGAAATGTAATAAGTCTGGAAATGTAGAACCAGGTTGTGAAGGACTTAAAGTGTGAACAGAGGAATTTGGATATGACCCTAGAGGTGATAGGGAACAGTGGAATTCATTGAGCAGGAGAGTGACATGGCCATACTTGTGCAAGACTTTGGCAACTGTGTCGAAGATGGATTGCAGAGAGGAGAGACTGGAAGCAGGGAGATCAGTTCGTTTATTGCAATAGCCTAGGTGAGAGAGGTGACAAGAACCTGAACTAGGGTGACTATGGTGGGAGTGGAGAGGAGATAAATTCTAGAGATGCTGTAGATATAGATTCAACAATCTTGGCAAGTGATTGACAATGTGAGCTCAAGCATGAGCGCGTGTGTGTGTGTGTGTGTGTGTGTGTGTGTGTGTGTGTGTGAGAGAGAGAGAGAGAGAGAGAGAGAGAAGAGTTGAATATCTGCAACTGGTATGAAGTAGACATTCATGTATAAAATCCTTTTTTATGTTCTGGTGTATGGAAATGCTTTTTTATATCTAAATTCATAATAATTTTTTAATTGAGCATGACTCTGAGGCTTCAAAACTGGGTGGTTTAAAGAATGATGATACCCTGCATAAGAGTAGGGATTTTTGGGAAACAGGTGGGTTGGAGGGAGAGGAAGGAAAATAAATTCTACATGTTTGAGATGACAATGGAATATCTAGTTTGAAATATTCAGCAGGCAGTTGGTGACATGGGAGCAGAGATCAGGAGAATAAAGGGATAGGAGGAAGAAGAAGAAGAAGAAGAAGAAGAAGAAGAAAAGAAGAGAAGAAGAAGAAGAAGAAGAAGAAGAAGAAGAAGGAGGAGGAGGAGGAGGAGAGGAGGAGGAGGAGGAAGAGGAGGAAGAGGAGGAAGAGGAGGAGGAGGAGATGATGATATGATGATGATGATGACAATGATGGGTAGATAAAGAGATAAGATAGATATAGAAATTACTGGGAGTCATCCTGATAGATACTATAGTTGAGCTAATGGGGAACTAATTAGATCACTAAGAGAATGTAAAGAACTAAGACAAGAGAGCCAGGATAGAACATTGGAGTATACTCACAATGGGAAGGAAGTGGATAAGGATTCATTCAGTAAAGGCAACTGAGAAGAAAGGGCCTAGGAAAGGAGAATCAAGAACCATTGCAGTGAAAACCAAGAGAAGCTAGAGTACCTAGTAGGTGCTCATGCTCAGCAGTTCCAAATACTATGGAGAATTCAAGGTGAATGAAGACTGAGAAATGGCCTTCAGATTGGGCAGTTGTTGTTTTTTGTCTTTCATTTTCAAAGAGGACTAATGACATCATGGGGTGATGTCTCAACTTACATGTGAATTGGATTTAAGTGAGGCAGAGTTGGGCAATTAAAAGGTTATTGGTAACTTTGAAGATGGCAATTTCATTTGGAAACCAGATTTTGGGGAGTAAAGTGACTGAGAGGAGACAAAGGCGAGAAGAGGCAAAGAGTGTAAACATCATTTTTTAGAATTGAATGGGTAGTATAGTAAATTAAAGGGTTTTTTCCTCTTAAGGATGGGGGTGGGGAGCAGTAGACAGAGAGAGGCTGAAGATCAGAGAAATAAAGGGGCAGTCCACTAGAAAAGATGAGGAGGAATGGGATGAATGGTAAAAGTAGAGAAGCTGGCCTTGGTGAAAAGGGCCACCTCTTTGTCAGAGACTGGAGTAAAAGGAGAGAGAATGAGAGATGACAGTAAGGAATTTTGAGATATAGGGGAGAAGAGAGAACATATTGGGAATGACTTCTATTTTTTCACTAAAGTGTAAGTCAAGGTCATTGGAAGAGAGGGTGGGAGTCCTAAGAGAAGAATAGACTCTCTGCTGAATTCTTCAGATTAGGATTCCCTTGCAGCAGTGAGAACCCAGTTCATATTACATGACTCAAATTTGTAGTGCACCTATTTGGCACAGTTGTATGACTCTCAATTCCCTTCACCAGCAGGCAAATAGGAATATAGCAGGTAGATGGTCAGGGTGGGGAAGGTAAGTCCAACAATAGAATTTAGTAAGGTATGAGTGTCAAATGATAATGAAGCTAAGGAATCAAGAGTAGAGTACAGTGTAATGTGGAAGTGACTAATCATAAGGTAAAGATTGGAAAGGGAGGAAAGTGAAGCCAGACAAGGGATGAAGTCTGGGAGAGCAGTAAAAGACTGGAAGTTCTAGTGAGGATAAAGAATAGGTTTAGGAAGAATGAGACACTGGCAGAGATGAAATGATAAGAAGTCATGGTCATATAATGGAATTTCAGAATTCTTGGTTCTATTTCCATTTCTCACCTACACATCTGTATGTTCTTGTGTGTCTTAGACTATAAGCCCCAGGGGT